CTGCTTCTCCCCAATAAGAACTAGGAACAGATGTCTGGAAAAGTAGTGCTCTAGCAACTTCAAGAAGGTGACGATTTTTTCTTTCAGCAACCCCGTTTTGTTGAGGGGTATCAACACATGTGAGCTCATGAATCATACCTCTGTCTGAAATGAATTGTGACAGGCGTTGATTGACGTACTCAGTACCATTATCAGATCTGAGTCTTTTAATACCTTTACCAAACTGAGTCTCAACCATGTGATGAAACCGAATAAATATCTCTGGTACTTCAGACTTGTCTTTCATCTTATCCATGTTACCCGAGTACAGTCGTCAATAAAAGAAACAAACCACCTTGCATCTGAAACACTGTGCACTTTAGAAGGGCCCCAAACATCAGAATGGATAAGAGAAAAAGGTTCCTTGCTTTTAATAGTGCTAGAAGGAAATGACACTTGATGGTGTTTTGCAAATTCACAAACATCACAATGAAAGGTCTCAACCGACTTATTGAGAAACAAAGAGGGGAACATAGACTTCAAAAGACTAAATGGTGGATGCCCCAGACGCTTGTGATGGAGCCAAATCATAGACTCTGCAGTAGAAGGATGACGTGTCATTAATAACTGATTTTTGCTAGCATGGTCTGGAAGGAGATGATACAACCCATCCTGTTCATTAGCTACTCCAATTGTCTTCTTCGTGGTAAGATCCTGAATAACACAATGAGAAGGAAAAAATGTGATAGAACAATTCAAATCAGTTGTAAGTTTTTGAGTGGAGATAAGATTAGTAGAAAGCTGAGGAACATAAAGGACATTCTTAAGAAACAAGGAAGGTTGAATTTGAATGTTACCAGAACCAATAACTGATTTATGGGATCCATCAGCTACGGATATAGTATGACTACCAACAGTAGGATGATAGGAACAAAACAACTCAGTATGACAAGTCATATGATCAGTTGCACCAGAATCCAAAATCCATGAGGTTTTAAAATCAGTGCAAGAAGCAAGAAGAGATGTAGAACGTGTGTTCTTACCAGATAAGATCAAAGAACATTCATATGGCTTACACATATTATCAATAGCGGGTTTAAGCTGATCCATGGAGAGGAGACAAAAAAAAACCAGCAGGATTTTTTTTTGTGTGAACAGTACCCAATGAACAGTACCGCGTGAACAGTACCCGATGAACAGTACTCGATGAACAGTACCGCGTGAACAGTGCGCGATGAACAGTACCATGTTTTTTTTTGAGCTGTTCCGGTCGTCTGATGAAAAAGAAACCTTCGTAGAATGATAGATCTAAGAAAACGGAGTGAAACAGGGGTCCTCACGGTCCAAAAGGTCCCCGAAATTTTTTTTCCGACGGCGGCTTTGTGGCGGTGAGAGGCAAATAGGGTTGGTTTTTAAAGATGGTGATTTACGGAAGCAGAACCCTCAGAATCGAGAGCTCTGATACCAACTTGAAAAAGGTATTCTGATATATTATAGAATTGTGTAAATACTTTGTACAAAGGTTCTCTATTTATAGAGAATACAAGACCTAGAATACTTGACCTAATGGGCTAAGCCCAATACAACAAATAATAAATAAATAATATAAATATTTACAACATCATCACTAGATTTAACCAACTTGTAACAAAAGAAAGTACCACTTTCATTGATTTTTTCATTTGCCACAGATAAAGATACAAACAATTCTTCATAGAATTCTTCAAAAATAACATGAGTATATGCCCGTGCAACTTGTTCAGCCATACCAGTAAAGAAAAGGAAATCTTTATTTATCAAGGGAAGATAGCGGTTTCTAAATGCTTTCTCTTTAAAATTTTCAGATTATCTCTTTTGCAATTCCTCCTATTTGTAGAGAATTCAGAGGATTCTTTTCAAAAGTTCTCCCTTTATTGTGATCTTTTCTTGATCTTCAATTCTTGACTTTATCTTGTATCTCATTGTTAACTATCAAAAAAGTGTAATTTGAAAAAGTGTTCTCTGTATATGAGTTGTAGACCTGGACGTTATCTTTTCAATGGCGCTTGTCTTATTGCGATATGAGTTATATAGCTACAGATATGATCCAATCACTTAACATAGGTCCAGTTCCAATGACAACATCACTACTTCAGATATCAGACCCATTTTGATCCACTAGATATCCAAAACACTCACAAAACAGTGCGCGATGAACAATACCACGTTTTTTTTGAGCTGTTCCGGTCGTCTGATGAAAAAGAAACCTCCGTAGAATGATAGATCTAAGAAAACGGAGTGAAACAGGGGTCCTCACGGTCCAAAAGGTCCCTGAATTTTTTTTTTCGACGGCGGCTTTGTGGCGGCGAGAGGCAAATAGGGTTGGTTTTTAAAGATGGTGATTTGCGGAAGCAGAACCCTCAGAATCGAGAGCTCTGATACCAACTTGAAAAAGGTATTCTAATATATTATAAAATTGGGTAAATACTTTGTACAAAAGTTCTCTATTTATAGAGAATACAAGACCTAGAATACTTGACCTAATGGGCTAAGCCCAATACAACAAATAATAAATAAATAAATAATATAAATATTTACAACATCATCACTAGATTTAACCAACTTGTAACAAAAGAAAGTACCACTTTCATTGATTTTTTCATTTGCCACAGATAAAGATACAAACTATTCTTCATAGAATTCTTCAAAAATAACATGAGTATATGCCCGTGCAACTTGTTCAGCCATACCTGTAAAGAAAAGGAAATCTTTATTTATCAAGGGAAGATAGTGGTTTCTAAATGCTTTCTCTTTAAAATTTTCAGATTATCTCCTTTGCAGTTCCTCCTATTTGTAGAGAATTCAGAGGATTCTTTTCAAAAGTTTTCCCTTTATTGTGATCTTTTCTTGATCTTCAATTCTTGACTGATCTTGTATCTCAATGTTAACTATCAAAAAAGTGTAATTTGAAAAAGTGTTCTCTGTATATGAGTTATAGACCTGGACGTTATCTTTTCAATGGCGCTTGTCTTATTGCGATATGAGTTATATAGCTACAGATATGATCCAATCACTTAACATAGGTCTAGTTCCGATGACAACATCATTACTTCAGATATCAGACCCATTTTGATCCACTAGATATCCAAAACACTCACAAAACAGTTCGCGATGAACAGTGCCACGTTTTTTTTTTGAGCTGTTCCGGTCGTCTGATGAAAAAGAAACCTCCGTAGAATGATAGATCTAAGAAAACGGAGTGAAACAGGGGTCCTCACGGTCCAAACGGTCCCTGTAATTTTTTTTCCGTCGGCGGCTTTGTGGCGGCGAGAGGCAAATAGGGTTGGTTTTTAAAGATGATGATTTGTGGAAGCAGAACCCTCAGAATCGAGAGCTCTGATACCAACTTGAAAAAGGTATTCTGATATATTATAAAATTGTGTAAATACTTTGTACAAAGGTTCTCTATTTATAGAGAATACAAGACCTAGAATACTTGACCTAATGGGCTATGCCCAATACAACAAATAATAAATAAATAAATAATATAAATATTTACAACATCATCACTAGATTTAACCAACTTGTAACAAACGAAAGTACCACTTTCATTGATTTTTTCATTTGCCACAGATAAAGATACAAACAATTCTTCATAGAATTCTTCAAAAATAACATGAGTATATGCCCGTGCAAGTTGTTCAGCCATACCAGTAAAGAAATGGAAATCTTTATTTATCAAGGGAAGATAGTGGTTTCTAAATGCTTTCTCTTTAAAATTTTCAGATTATCTCCTTTGCAGTTCCTCCTATTTGTAGAGAATTCAGAGGATTCTTTTCATAAGTTTTCCCTTTATTGTGATCTTTTCTTGATCTTCAATTCTTGACTGATGTAACACCCCGTTCTAGAACCGGTTTGTTAACATCGCATTATGATATTAAGCGCAGTTACAATCACATGGGTTCAATTAAAATCCGGATAAATTTTTCATTTTAAAACGTACCGAACTTATAATACCCGATTTCGTGATCATAACCATATTACCTTGCGGAAACAGATAAATTAAGCTTAACATCATGTTCATTTCCCATTTTTAAACCATTAATTTACTTCTTGTTTAGTTCAATACTTCTACTATATTGTAGGTTTCTTTATTAGCTACCCGTGGCTTCAAACCGTGCTCAAATCGGAGCACTGTAGTCCAAGTTAGGACAATTTGAAGCAACACAAGAGAGTGTTGGTCACAGGCCCCGCGCGCTTCAGCGCGCTACCGGGCGCTCAAGCGCGCGCTATCGGGCGCTAAAGCTCCCACGGGGACGTTTTGGCGCGCAGAGACAGAAGCATCTCCTCCTTCAGTGGCGAAGGGCGCTTAAGCGCGGACCAGGGCGCTCAAGCGCGCAACCCTGGGCGCTTAAGCCCCACCCTGGGCGCTAAAACACGAGGGGGCAGTAAGCCACCCAACTTTCTGCAGCAAAGGGCGCTTAAGCGCACGCCAGGGCGCTCCAGCGCGCAATCCTGGGCGCTTAAGCCCCCACTTGGGCGCTCCAGCGCGAGGAGGCAGAATGCATTGGCACTCGCAGGGGCAGCAGGGCGCTTGGGCGCGCTCCTGGGCGCTTAAGCGCGCTGCCAGGGAATTCCAATTCCCACATTTCTCAAGTCCAAGCCTAGGGGAAAATGCATCCCCATTACAAACCACAAATGTCCATGCCCCAAAACTAAATCCTAGCACTCATCCAACCTCTCCTCATGAGATTTAGCTAGAATTTGGGCAGCATGACCTTTGTTTTCTCATCGTTTACCAGTTTAAACGAAGAGGGTACCTAATTGATTTTCAGCCCAACCAATTCAACAACTCAATACATAACAAGCATGCATATATTGAATTCCAAGTAGGCATCATTTACATTACATATCCTTTACAAATCATAGAACTTAGCTTACAAAACACTATGATCATTCCCTTGGCTCCCATCAACAAAAGGTGTAACCAAAGGCATGAGCATAGGCTAAGTTCATCAAATGAATCAAGATATACAAATGATCATGGGCTTTCAAAATAAAATCCTATACATGTCAACTACAAAAGGCATGCATAAACTCAAAGAAGTGCCATATTTCATGCATAATCTAGGTATGGCCACTTGCCACCAGAGGCTCCTGCAGCATCCTTACCTGAAAGGGGGTCCCCACAACACGGGGTGAGATATACGAATATATCCAGTAAACCAGGGGTCCTTGGAGCATCTCTCCACCCCACAGTTCCATATCGGTGTAATAGCAATAACAATAATAATGCAGTAAATACATATCTATGCAAAGTGCAATACATCTCCAGGAGAAATCCCTCGAGCTCTCAAGCTGTCCTAAGGAAACTCAGATGCAAATAGTCCTACTGGCCAGCTAACTACCATGTATGATTTACGCATCGTCATGCAACATACCCACATAGGGAAACACCATCCTATGCCACACCAAATGCATACACATACGTATAACAAAGCATTACACTATTTTATTGCATTTATATACACAATCACAACCTCCACCCTTTCAGGGCTTGGTAGAACAGTCAAGGGAATTACACCCAAGGTCCGAAGGCTTACCTCAATGCTTCAGTCAACCTTTGTTCTTCACCAACAGTTTCAGCAATCAACTTTTACAAACATACACCTACACATGGTGTAATGCAATCAACACATTGCATCCAAGAGTATTTCACAATCAACCATCAATTACTCAATTCAAAGCACCACACAAGTATGAGCTTACCAATTCCAATGAGCTATTCAAGCTCCATAGCTTGCTCCAATGGTTGATCACTCACGGTTGGTCCAAATGTCTCAATCCTAGACATCACAAGGATCCAATCAATCATTCAACTCACTAATTGTTCAACATGCTAGAATACTAACCAATCCAAGCATGAATTTTCCAATATTATGAACAATTATCAAATGACTATTTAGGCTCATTTCCACCGGTTAAATGACATTCCTAGCATTTTCCATAACATGCTCTAAGCTCCATTCTTCCTAGAACATAGCTAATTCAACCACATTTCATAAAAATCCCAATTTACTATTCACAAACCCTAACTCATGCAAATTTCAAGGAATCATGAGGTTCAAGGGTTAGAATCTTACCACCAATGGTCACACAACCAAGGATTGATGGCTCCTCAAGCTTCAATGGAGGTAGAAACTCTCAAAACCCCAATTTTCACCAAAGGGCCGAATTTTTGAGAGGTAATATCTCTCTCCACAATGCTCCCCACTCAAAACAAAGCTAGGATTATGAAAGAGGAGAAGATTTAGAGTGGTTTAGGCTTTTGAATCACTCCAATCGGTTGGGATTTGCTCCCTCCTCTCTCTCTCTCTCTCTCCCTTTCTCCTCCTTCTCCTTCTTCTTCTTCCTCCTTCTTTTCTGTTTCTCGACGAAATGGGGGTGGGAAATGGGGCTCATTTGGCTTTTAGTCACTTAACATAGGTTAAGTGACTTTAAGCGGGTATTGGTTCGTCTATCTATTCAACTCCAATAATTACCAAACTTTACCCAAAAGTCTGGAATATTAATCTAGGAATATTACTATTTTTATTTTTATATTTTGGGTACTTTTGACAGTACCCATTTATACCCCTTAATTTTCACTGAGTACACTTTTTAACTCCAAAGTGACTCAGATTCATTTTATTAAGCCTCATACTTAATTTCACCCAGTAAAACATGTTTAATTAATTAATTACACTTGATCTCCTAATTAATTAATATGGGCTATTATAGTCACCCCACCTTTTAGCGATTTTGTCCGCAAAATCAAGAACGTACCTGTCCTTAAACTCAGGATATTGCCGGAGAAGCTCATCTTCCCGCTCCCAAGTGGACTCTTCAGGCGTCCTTCCTTCCCACTGGACTTTCACCATAGGAATAGATTTGTTTCTCAGCTTCTTCTCATCTCTTTCAAGTATCTTCAGTGGTCCAATAGGAGTCTTCAAATTCTCCCGGATTTCAACATTATCAGGTTGAACCACATGAGAAGGATCAGCTACATATTTCCTCAGCTGAGAAACATGAAACACATCATGTAAATTTGCTAATTGCGGAGGTAAGGCAAGCTGGTAGGCAACCGGTCCCACCCTACGAAGAATCTGGTAGGGTCCAATAAATCTCGGACTCAGCTTCCTCACTCCAAGGGCTCGTCCCACACCTGTAACCGGTGACAGCTTCAGGAACACATGATCTCCCTCCTCAAACTCTAGAGGTCGATGCTTGAGATCATAGTAACTTTTCTGACGATCCTGAGCCTTTTCAGACGATCCCTAATCATTTTGATCTGCTCAGTAGTCTCCTGAACAAAATCCAATCCAAACCGCTCTGTGTCTCCAACCTCTGACCAACAAGTAGGTGTCCTACACCGGCGACCATACAAGGCCTCGTAGGGAGCCATACCCAGACTAGCATGGAAACTATTATTATATGAAAACTCAACCAGTGGGAGATATCGATCCCATGCAGTACCCTGCTCCAGGGTGCAAGCCCTCAGCATATCCTCCAACGTCTGAATGGTCCTCTCAGTCTGACCATCCGTCTGTGGGTGATAAGCAGTGCTCAGTCTCAACTGAGTGCCAAGAGCCTCCTGCAATGCTCCCCAGAAGCGAGAAGTGAACTTCGGGTCCCGATCACTAACAATGCTCTCAGGCACCCCATGAAGCCTCACAATCTCCTTCACATAGAGCCTAGCCAATCTCTCCGCAGAGAAATCTACCCGAACTGGCAAAAAGTGTGCGGATTTTGTCAATCTATCCACAATCACCCATATAGAATCATAACTAGCCTGTGTTCGCGGCAATCCCACTACGAAATCCATGGAGATACTCTCCCATTTCCATTCAGGAACATCCAGAGGTTGTAACATACCAGAAGGCTTTTGATGCTCAATCTTTACCTTCTGACAAATGAGACACTTAGAGACAAATTCGGCAATATCTTTCTTCATACCAGGCCACCAGAAATTCATCTTTAGGTCCTGATACATCTTTGTAGCTCCCGGATGAACTGTAAAATGACCTTTATGAGCCTCTGTCATCACTTCTTCCGCCAACTGCCTAGGTACAACTACACGACCCTGATATAATAGTATACCCTCATCATTGCAGGATACACCACTCTGACCTTTTAGTCGTCTAGCACTTTCATTTTGCAGCTGGGCTTCTTTGATTCTGGTCATCAGTTCATTCTCAATGCTCGTGATTTCAAAGCCACAAATTTTACATGGAAAGATTTTAGATAATTGAATATCTCTGAACCTCTCTATCACATCATAA